AAGAAGAAGAAGAGGAAGAAGTAGGACATATATTTACTTCATGTTTCACCGCAAATTTCACTTTCATACTATGTAATTAACCCTAAAATCCCCTGGTCTGGCACTGAATTCATAACTGGGCTTCAAAAAGTGATATTAAGCAGTTTCCCTGAACGTTTTTGAGGAGAAAAATCTCCAAAGTTAAAATGCACTGATTTTTTCTCGCGGTTTTCTTTCCTCTGCAAGATTCAACTTAAAAATCCTGATTCAGGATTCAATGTTATTTTAAATGATAATAAAAAATAATAAAAACATATATAAATATTTTATCGTATTGGGCTTTCGATAAAAACTTACCTTTTTAAAAATGGAGATGTCTTTTGCTTAAATCTGGTGTTCTAGCTTTCGTACTCAATCAAGAGTGTGATGTCCTCTCGAACAAATTGATTGGGTTTTATACTCTTCCCGGCCGGTTCAACATATGAATTTTAGCACAGTTTGATATCATTTTGTCAAATTCTTTTCAAACTTATATATCAAATTGAGCTGATCAAACTATTTTCAAGACAGCGTGTGAGCAAAATGAAAATCTCATAAACAAATAATGCAACACAGAAAACAGTAGGAATTTACGAGCAATTACATCTGCTTGGTCCAAAAATTGATAAGTTCAGCGATCGACTAATTAGACTTTAACAGCAAGAATCCGTAGGGAAAAGGAGCAATATTATTCTTTTTGTAATTACATTGTGTTTTTTTAAAACCCATAATTGAAAATATCTCGTTCAAATAACACTCATTAAAGTAAGAAAAGATTTTCCGAAAAATAATTAAATTTATTAGAACATATTTTTCTATACTTTTAGTGATGTGACTACATGAGGTATCCTCGTTATAATTAGAAGTATTTTCTAAAATAGGTATCTCAAAGTTTGCCGGTATGTTGGAAAAACTAATACCAATTCAAGTGACAATTTTATTGAAGTGGTATGATATATTCCTTGCTTCCTTGCTTCCTTGCTTCCTTGCTTCCTT